GAGAATGTCAACACACGGGCTGCTCTATTCTGCAATTTCTGCAGTTTGTCTCGTAGCGTTTTCCCACAGCTACCCCAAACAATGTCACAGTAATCAAAGTGAGGTTTTACTAAAGCTTGGTAGATGAGATGTAAGGTTGATGCTGGGATCAGGTGCCTAATTCGCTTTAGGGCCCCGATACCAGAGGCGATCTTTTTCGTTAGTTTTTCGATGTGACTATGCCAATCGAGTTTATCGTCTATTATTACACCAAGCGATTTTGTAGCTGNCTGGTTTGCTTATTAAAACTATTTTGGTAATAAGCTTGCTTAGCTGAGCGTATTTGCTTATTGACTATATTTCTTTGTTTCTTAAATAATGCCCAATCGTTAGAATCATTTGTCTTGCTAGCTTTGATTTTTAATATGTCTCTATTATGCATAAGGTCTTTCAATTCAGAGGTAATCCACGGAGAACTCCGTGAACGAACGCGCATCGTTTTCAGTGGGGCATGTTTGTCAGCGATAGCCAGAAATGTACATTTCCATTGCTGCCACATCACGTTTGGGTTGGAAGACTCGTATACATTATCCCAACATTGAGATAGAATATCATAACGAAACTTTTGGCGATCGAAATTTCGGAAATTTCTGTATGTAATAGAATTATGTCCGTTAGACATCCCATTCAGGGCAAGTTTTCTATATACATACACCATGCTATGATCACTTATTAAGTTCACTATAGAAGGACGCGAAGTTGTCATTCCCCTTGGACACGATCCTGATGATGAGAAAGAAAACTCTACTTGTCGGACGACGCAGCATGTACTTGTTGCGAAAGATGAAGGCTTGATTTCAGACGAGGCATACCATGAGTTGAGGATGGTTTTACCAGACAAGGAAAGAAATATCCTTCCGCCAATCTGTGTTCTGAAACAGGAGAGAAGCAGGCAAAATGGGATCATTGCCTTGCATTCAATTTCAGAGGTCTGTCAAAACAAATTAATTTATTTTAACTACACGTACCTAACTACCAAAGCCAAGCGAGACTATAGTGAATAAAATCTGACCAGTGTAGAAATCACAAAAATTCAATTACAAAGAAAAAATCATCAAATTGAATAGACCTCTATGGATTTTCTGAAGAAAAAGTTAATACTTCATTCTTATTTACCACAGGCTAAAAAAGGAGATGGAGTAAGACGCGATATAAAGGCAATTTGGAGTCAGCTGCTGTCCATCCAAAGTATAAACAACACTGTACAAGCTAATGGCAACAAACTCCGCCTGCGCTTTGCTGCTGATGGAAGATGCACCAGCAATAAAATTGGCACTGTCATGGCTGTGTTCAATATTCTCGATGAACAAGAACATGACTGTGACCACCAGTACCCTATCGCTCTGTATAATGTTAATATTTTAAAATCCAGCAGTTTTATAAAGAATGCCAGCTTTTAAGAGACGGTGAATATTAAACATTGTAAATTTATATCTCTACAGTAAAGGAGGATTATTTAGAAGTAAAAACTTGTCTTGGGCCTGTGTTTGCAGAAGTTAATGACCTTCAACGAAATGGTATCGAGGTGGACGGAATACACTACAAAGTAATATGGTAAATACATTATTTTATGTCAAAAAATAATTTTTTCTTCATCAATTACTAGAGATTATGTAAATATTCTAGCTATGAACATAACTTACTATATGTCTCAGTACATGATAGGTCCACTGTGAATTAGGATCCAATCAATCAATCCTTTATTTAAACACGTGACACCTAGGAGTACAGAAGTTCTCGTTAAAACGTGTACGTGTATGTACAATTAGAAATAAAACATAATTTCTGTAAGAATACAAACAATAAGTAGATCTATTAAATAACTAAAAACAGGATCGAAGATCATGGACAAGAGCTATCAATAAAAAGTTGCAATATTAA